GGTTTTTCTCTAACGCCTTCATGATCACTCAGAGCCCAGCTCATTCCTTCCTGCTCTTCTGCAAGGGAGAGTGTCTGTGGGGCCCACAGTCAGGCAGGGGAGAGCACCATGCCACAGGATTGCTGGGGCAGGGACTGAAAGCCCTGGGTGGGCAGAAATGGGGTCCTGGACCACAGAGAACACCCGGAGGGGGTTGAGCAGAGCTGTTATGGACTATTGGTGCCCTCAGGGCCATAGCAAACACTTCCAGTTAGTGTGTGAAGGTTCCTGATTTTCTGCCATATAAAATCCAAAGTATTCTGTATTTGACAAAGGAGTGGCAGGGGAGGGACAAATGCGGCAGACAGTGGTACACTTAGTGACAGCTCATTAGGAAATGACTACCCAACTGCCTGAAGAGATTGGTGGGGTGGGGTGTCCCCTGCACTCATTTGGCACAACTCACAACACTGGAAAAGCCAGGCTGAGGACAGCAGGGTGAGAGGCAAACAAGGCAGGGCTCTGTGGAGCTGCTGTCAGCAGCAGCTGGGAGTCCACATCCTCCCTGCAGCGGTGCACACACCAGCACCACCAGCAGACCCCCCCCACCACTTCAGCGGGAGTTAGTCAGGGGCATTTTGTCATTCTAAGCATTTCCAAACCTCCTTTATGAGCACCATTTGCTGACAGTGTCTTGGCTTCATCCTATCTCGAGGACCAGGGCAGGAACCCGACATAAACATTCCCTGCTCCATAGAGACCGCAGTTCAAGATATGACAGCAGCTCTTAGGTCCATGGGCTCTGGATGGGGCACTGCAGGAAAATCTGATGGCCTTCGTTCACCTGGTTTTTACACCAAACACAACCAAAGGAACAGCTGCCATCCACTCAGCCTGATTCCTCCCACTTCAAATACAGCCTGAGAGGAGTTGCCAGTCATCTGCTCCCACCTGTGAATGAAACCAAAAGGACTGGGGGACACCCTCAGGCTCATAAAGTACCTTATCCACCAAGCAATTCAAATCAAGTAGTTTCCTTCTGTTGACAACCCACTTCTTTCTTCCTTTTTTCTCTTTCCACATTAATCCCTGGAGGAGTACTAATTTCAACTGGAGATCCTCGCTTGCAAATCAGAGCCTAAGCCAAAGGCAGAGAGAAAAGGTGGGAAGGACTATGAGTGTATCTGTAATAAATATATCAGCAGAGCGTGCTGGAGCGAATGAAGATCTGAGAGGGTTGCAGATTGCACCAGCCATGAAATGTGATGCTTAATCAATTAGAGAATTACACAGCAACAGAAGCGAATGGTCAGTGGCTTCAGTCAAATCCAGCAGGTGTTTGGGCTCTCATGTCCCAGTTTCGTGCCTTTCAGCTTGCTCCTGAGATGTTCATTCAAGCAAGCAGCTTGATTCCTATGCCTGGGGCCAGCAGACATCTATCTTACCTTTGACTGCTACAGATCTGGCTGTTCA